CCAACCGCACGAGCATCAGCATCAGCATCAGTATCAGCATCAACATCATCAGCATCAGCATCAGCATCAGTCTCTGCCGCACCCGTGCCGGCACACCCCTCACACCTTCCGTGGCTCCGTAGGGAGCTCCACCGAAGGTCCCAGTGGGAAGGCCCGCATTCCACCGCCGCGCCCGTTTCGGCACGCCCCTCGCACGTTTCGTGGCTCCGTAGGCAGCTCCACCGAAGGTTCCAATGTGAGGGCCCGCAAGCCACCGCCGCACGCAATTCGGCACACCCATCACACGTTTCGCGGCCCTGTAGGGAGCTCCACCGAAGGCACTCCAGTGGATGGCCCGCGTGCCAACGCCGCGCTCATTTCGGCGCCGATTTCGGCACGCCCATCGCACGTTTCGTTGCCCCGTATGGAGCTCCACCGAGGTCCTCAGCGGGAGGGCCCGCATGCTGCTGCTGCACTCATTTCGGCACAACCCTCACACTTTCGCGGCCCCATAGGGAGCTCCACCAACGGCCTAGCCGGAGGGCCCGCATGCCAACGCCTTGCCCATGTCTGCATACCTCTCACACGTTTCGTGGCCCTGTAGGGAGCTCCACCGAGGTCCCCAGCGGGAGTGGCCCGCTTTTCTGTGACGTCGCCCCATGCCCCGCTTTTCTGGCGCGCTGTCTCTGAGGAGAGGACCGCATCCGACGCGATTTGCAGTTTGCTCGCCCCCTCCTTCGTTCCATTGTCCTTGCGGGTCTCGCAGCTGCATGTGGTTTGGTCCTTCGCCAGGCTACCTGGGACGTTCTTGGACCTCTGGAGGCCTCTGGGGACCTTTTCCTGTACGCTTATAGCATGCAGGTAACCTGCGACCATGTCCCCAAGCCCAGCTGTCCTGAGGGCGCTTCAACGTCGGAACGTCCAGGCTTCTGCTCTCCTCCTCCTCTCAGCCTTCCCGCCGCTCTCATCCTCCTTCTTCATGGCGGTGTGTTTCACCATCTTGCCAATGCACCTCTGGTGTGCACGGCTTCGCTCTCTCTCTCTCTCTCTCTCGCTCGAAGACGGCCCACGAGGCGCCCTAGACGGTCCACGAGGCACCCAACAGGGCTCCCAGGGAGCCCGAAGATCCCAAGAGTCGGCAGATAGGGATCTTTGGGATTTTTCTTGAGTGGTGGGGCTCGCAGCGTGCCCGCAAGCGCATCTCAGGGCCCAGAGCCTCTTGCATCATCTTTGCCATCCTGGATGCGTTTGGGTGCGTCTTGAGAGTCATCTTGGGCCCTCTTGGCTCATCTCGGGGCCATCGTCGGTCGCCGCGGAACCGTTGGGGGCCGTCCTGGAGGGCACTCTCCCAGCCCGAGGGTCCTTCACATGAGGGGCGCCGGAGCCCGATCCCCCCATTCGGAGGCCGTTGGGCAATGCAGTGACTATGGCACAAAGGCTGACCCTGCTGGTCGAGAGCGCACCAGTCGGGAACGGGCCACGAGAGATGACGCGCCTGACTCAGAGACGGCTGGGTGATGCAGGTATGTCAGCTTTAGACTAGAGCTCTTGCAGCAAGTTGCGTGCGTGGCTCCTCGTGGTAGCATGGGTACGGTCCGATCGCATTCGTACGCCCTGAATCGCCATCGGTATGCGGTGTGGCCCTGCGGCTCGTCCAAGCTGACTGAGGCGTTGCATATATATATATATATATATATATATACACATATATTGGCGTACTCCTACGAGGTATTGGGAGACACGGCCCAGGACACACAAGTTTCCTTGCGGTCGGGTCGCCAGGTCATCGCCGGAAGATCGTCGATTTGTGTCTCAGCGCTCTCTGAATGGGGGCCTTGGTCTTGGAGTCGGCTGGGTTTCGCCGCACTAGAGCTTCCGCGCCAGAATCATCGCCTTGCTCTGCACAGCATGCATGCCCCCCTCCCCCCCTCCCCCGCCTCCGCTACGCTGCTGGACCACGGAGCTGGGGCGCAGGGAAGGCGAGGGAGAGCAGGGCGCACGCGCTCGCAACCCCGTCGGTTCGAGCCCAGCGAGAGCCGAGCCAGAAGAACGCGGCCCGAGGGAAGGAAAGGAGGCCGAGAGGACCACCAGAGGGCCTCACACAGACCGGAACGCCGAATACAAGGGAAGCCGGCCCCAGAGAGGATGGTCGTCCGTTGGGCTTCTCACTGGGGGACCAGCCTTTCCATAATGGGTGTAACTTGGTCATGGGGGAGGCAACTCTGGCCCTCGCTCGTCTTGTCGGGCTTTCCCGCGCGTCGAACGGTTTCCTAGTTCATCTGGGCGGAGGCAACTCGAAGTTACGCTTTGCTTGTTCAGCTGGCGGCTTTTGCTGCGACGCGTCCTTGCGCGCCGCAGCGCATGCTGACCCCTCCGAAGCTATCAACTTCAGTAGAGAGTGCCACATATCGAAAGCGCAAGCCTTCTCCTGTTGGACTCAGACACTGCAAAGTCGTGCTTTCATTTGGTTGCGCATTCTTTGCTGAACACCTTGGGCTTCAACTCAGAGCCGGGTTTCGTG